CGTCCGGGCCCTGTCAACCTGCTGGTCGCCTTATACTAGGTCATTATCAAACAACCATAGGAGATCTTGCTTTGAGCATGGCGGGGGAACTTCAAGGTCACGCTCCCGTTATCGTCACTGTCAGTGACAATGCAGTTCTTATATTAGGTTGTTAGTAAGCTAATGGGAGACGCAGTTTCCTCAGTCATAAAATTCTGCTTAGAATTGACTGCATTTGGCTTTCATGTGTGATTGCGAGGCAGTCTGTTTTCAATCAAGATTTTTCATATTGATTCATCTGTGAAAAACTCGGCGCCGAGTTTTTCACAGTTGGGTCAATATGAATTATTCAAAATATGCCAAAATACCTATGAATCCAGATTTTGTTTGAGTGAGGGTCACTCCTGATTGGCGGACTGCACCCCTATGAGGCTGGTCCCTGGGTCTTACGTTGTCCCCTGGGGGTACTGTCATTATTATGTTAGCCGTGGCCGCCAAAATATTGACAGGGAGAGGTGGTGGTGGGACCCCTGCTGCAACCAGGTGATGACAGCACGTGTGAGCGGCTGACGTACAGTCAAAAAAGTGATTGTTGCCCACGCCCCACCCCCACCTCCCCCCCAGTGGGGAAGGCACTGACGACAGCCAGCGAGGCGTAGGCGCTGACTTATCTGCACAAGAGCCATAGAAGGTGACAAAAAGTGGGAGGACATTTTGTCTGGTTTCCTCTGTTTGGTCAACTATTGGAAATGTCTTTACTTGGGTGAGACCCTGAGCGTAGTGGACACCGACCGCAATGGCTGTCCAAGAATTCACCAAGAGCTGGTTGTTGGACAACCTACCTGTGCCCTGTTAAGGGGGTTGGGGGGGGGGGTAGGACAAACACGTTTGTGTGCGTACCTATTTCTGTATGAATAAATTGCCAATCCACCTTGACAGAGATCGGCAGGTGGCAGAGCAGTGACGAGTTTTGACTCAACAATGCTGATGACTCACCGGTCGGAGCCATTTCTGCAGTGTTCCTGCGTACATTTGTGGTTCGGGTGGCAGGTGTCAGTTAAGAGCAGGACTGCCTGACTGAAGCGGGCGCGGATAAGCTCTAGGCAGTCGCTTTGCTTCGGAGGAAGAAAATTTCACCGGCTCCGAGTTTATAACCAAGTCTATTACTGGAGACAGGCCAGATCGTGTGCGGCACGCACCATCCCGCCTCCGGTCGTCCTGACTCTGTCTTGACTTTGGGTTCAGATGAGTGAGGGTGGGGTGAGTGCAGTAGATGCAGCGCAAGCCTGTATTCACTACAAAGTAATTTGCGCGCAAGTCACCGTCCTTGCGCCATCCCTGTTGTGAGACACACGACACAGATCGCCAGTAACGACGGTCGAAATGCCGCGGGAGATAAAAGGTATGGATAAAATACAAGACTACAGTAGGTATTTATGGGAGACAGTTAACAGACACATCTGGTTCGCTTGATGTTGACCAATCTTTCTCACACAGTTTGTGATCCCACTTTCGTTTGAAAGCGTCAGAAAGGGGATTTGGCTGTCTGATTCCCCCTCCCGATAAATCGGATTTGCGCTGGAAAACTTGGTAGTTTTCCCTGGAGATTACATTGATATAAATACATATATGTAATGGTAGGGGGCGCTCACCGATCGTTCATACGGAACTCACTCGTTCCGTTGTGCCTTACGGGCTCTCTCTCTCTCTAGTCCAACCAGCAGCCGCACAGCGGCGCATGATATAGGCAGTATGTTAGTACAGACGAGTGAGTTCCGTAACAACGATCATTGAGCGCCCCTTACCATTGTATATTCCCGATCGAAACCGACAGGACAACGGGCGCGTGGCCCAGTGGTCAGGGGCGTGGACTTCTAACTCACAGGTCGCGAGTTCGAGCCTCGCGTGTTCCACACTTTGTGGTTGGGTATGACTAACTGACGACGGCTAATAAGCCAGAAATGGCCATCCCAGTCTCCCATTTCTTTGTGGGTAATAACATGCTGCCTATACATATGTGTATGCAGAAAAGCACTACCGGCAAAGAAAAAGGAGACTGAAATGGCTATTTCTGGCTTATTAGCCGTCGTCATCCAGACATACCCAAACCCGAGGTGTAGAACTCCTGGGGCTCGATCCCCGTTGGTCAGAAGTCCGACGCTCCTAACCAATCAGCCACGGTCTCGTTGTCCTGTCACGACAAAGTACCGCGAAGTACAAGGAAGGGTAAGATGTGGTTATGTAGCCCCACGTGATGGATACAGTACTGCCGGGATTGGGGTCAGGGGTTAGTGCTAGGGGTTAGAGTTAGGGGTTAGGGCAACTATTTATCGACCACTCAAAATGCAACCGCGCATTCCCGATAGCTTTTATTTTGCAAACAACAACTTGGCCTCGTCGTCTGTGCGTTCCCCGGTCCCATCTGTAAAAACCCCTATTACCACCGCCCCCTATTACTGGCGGATGGGGTTTGTTTACCTCAGGTGGGGCTACATAACCACATCTGAGCCAAGGCAGTCTAGGATGGCTGTTTCTGGAGAGCCCTGACCACGTTACGGAACTTTAACATCCCATTATGCCAGGCGGTTCAATCTAGAGCCTCGCAGTCAGTTGCATACTGACCATTAATATATGAACAGAGGCATCACCAACGAAGACAGGAAGAACCGAGATTTTCAGTTTTGGTTTATTAGCTGTTGTCACTCAACCACGTCCGATTCCGTCTGTCCCACAACTGCCTTCTCGAACTCCCTCTTAAGGAAAGTTGACGTGTGTTCTCGGTCGTGGCCAGAAGTACATTACTGTAGTTCGTTAATCACCCATCTGCGCCTCAACCAAGTTAAGACTGTGTGCCTGTTTGGCCACCGCGTACAGACATTTTTAAGAAGGCCAAAAGTCAGAAATAAGTTTTATTCGAGCAGTGCTTAGTTTTTTTAACAGTATGTCAGTTTGTTGCCATTTACTCAATTTTAGGTTCATTTTAATGACAAACGTTTCTACTCACACTCGGGATTTGATCGAAATCCGAAGGGCGGCGAAACACGTTTTATGTTCTATGCGAAATCCTCCTCCTCCTCCTCCCACCCCTCCTCCTACTCCTACTCCTCCTTCTCCTTCTCCTCCTCCTTTTCCTCCTAAACAGTCTATCTCAATTGAAATTCTTTATAGCTACAATACTTTTCGACCCGTCATAGGTTGACGGGCGTCACGAAGAGGGAGGTTAAAGCCGCAAACAAGCACAACAAGGTTCTAGACATTGCACTAACGGATCCGGCCATAAGTCATACTCTTGCCTGCGAAGTTGTTGCGAAGTTAGCGACAAAATATACAGTGGATGTGCCATCTCATGAAATGTTAACCGTAATTGTGAAATGCGTTTTCATTTCGAAAGGCTTATTCTCACCAGGACTATACATTTATATTGCTTGCCCGCATTTTCTTTTCAATCACTTCGATAGCAATATAAATGTATAGGCCTGATGAGAATTTATCAAAAGCTCACGTGTGCTCACCAAATTGTCTGCGGTGGGAATTTTCGCAACTCCAAAAGATTACTCCAGTGGGATTGTCAAATTAATTATCGCGCCGCATAATGTGAAGGTATTCCAGTCAAGTCAGGATGCCGGCTTTTAAACGCGCTTCTTGTCGACTGTTTTCAACACTCCGTAAACGATGACCATCTAAGTAGTATGATTTTTCCCTAGTGATTTTCGATGCCCTCATAAATTTAGATATATTTTACGGAGGACATACATAAAATAAGTCCTTGCTAATTCGGTGGAAAATTATGTCTTCTTTAAATCGTATATTTAAAGAAAGTGTCTCTCGGCTTCAAAAAGTCTCAATACGGTTTCGCAAGGCCGTGAAATGTGAAATCATACAGTATTACATGAGCACATTTAACAGTGCTGGTTATAATGAGGACAATGTGGTCCCCATCAAGTACAAAGTGTTATGCGTCATATATGTCCTCTTTTTGGCATCGTAATGAGGAGTGTGACTTTCCTTAAACAGAATATTTCATGCTTGTTTTCGGTAAAATATATCTGAATTTATAAGGGCGTTGGGAATCAATGGAAGAAATGATACTACTTAAGTGACCAGTTCTTACGGAATATTGAAGGCAGTCGACAAGAATCTCGTTCATAAGCCGGAATCTTGGCACGACTGGGATGCCTTAACATTATGCGGCACGTTTCTTAATCTGACAATCCCACCTAAGTAAGCCTTTCGAATCGAAAACACATTTCAGAATTTCAGTCAACATTTCATGAGATAGCATAGCTACGGTAGTGCTGGACTTTACCGTATTATAAACCTTAACTTGCACCCGGGGGGGAGTGGGGGGATATATCGAAACGCCCGATTTCCCTGCTATAACCAATTCTTATTGGTGAGCGTAATGGCAGGTGACTTTGACTACTCTTCCGGCTCGCAAGCGACAGGGTTTGAGCGCTAGCTCAAGGATACAGCATGAAACTCAATTACCAGGCGGATCTAAGTCCAGATCTCAGGCCTGTCCTGTTTGGGCTTGGGGTATAGCGGAGGCGAAAAATGGACCCCTCCAGTCGCCGCTGTCTTTGTCGGCAAAAAACTTACCTACTAGAATAAGCTGACTGCGTCATGTAATCTGTCGGGCTCTATTTTCCGCCCCCACCCGTCAAATGTGAGGGCCGACCGCGTGACGGTTCGACTTCCCACTGTCCTACCCACGTGAGTCGCTAATCGACGTGCTCCGGATGCGACGACTGGGCAGGGAGATAGCATCTTTCAGGCCAGCCAAACTATGGAACTGTCCTCAGACGCTTACCGTCACGCATAAAATGACAACATGCGTAAGCCGTAGTAGAACCGCTGAACCCCCCCCCCTCCTACCCAAAGCAAACACACGCAGAGGTAAACCGAAGCAGGCTAGTTGTACGTGCTTTTGTTGCGTGCCCCCTGGGGTCTTCGGGTGTGTTGTCGGAACCGAAGGGGGTACGTGGCGACTGAAAGACAATGTGGGCAGACTCGTACAGGAAATGGGGAACGCGCCAAGGCTTCTCGCTGCTTCCCCCACCCCCCAACCCACTAAGGTATGCGACTGCTGTCGTCATTGGGAAAAGGACGTATGAGCAGGGCTCGGTCTCGTTTTGCGTCATTAGGTGAGGATAAGGCCTGATGACGAGAGCGTAGGGTGATAATGGAGCATGTTGTCTAATCGCTCTCTCTCTCTCTCAGCGCTGGGTATAGGGCAGTGAATTTAAAAGCGTCTTTTGGGCTTTGGTAATAGACTTGTTCGGATAAACAAGAGTCAAATGCCTGATGGGTTTGGGGAAAAATCAGAAATGTTAGGGGGAGGGGGAGCGACTGAAATGGCGATCCGGCAGGACCCAAAGAATCCTTAGGCTCCCATGATCGAACGATATGCGTTACTCGAAGTTAACTGATTGGCGATACTTTGGGGACTTCAGGTGCGTCCTCCTTCCCGGCGTCTAGCTCGAATTGGGCTAACCTGCAGTACAGTAATACAGTTCTGATGCGCATCGCGACTGTTTTATCAGCTCAGAGTTCCTCAGGTGTCTGAATCGATTAGGAAGGGCCTGATTTATATCACATGGGCGTGGGGCGAATCTACCCAGCCTGACTGTCCATCGGGGCACTTTCGTCTCTTTTTGGTATGGATCTTAGGATAGGCACTACTACTACTACCACTACTACTGCTGCTGCTACTACTACTACTACTACTACTACTACTACTACTACTACCACTACTACTGCTACTACTACTACTACTACTACTACTACTACTACTACTACTACTACTACTACCACTACTACTACTACTACTACTACTACTACTACTACTACTACTACTACTACTACTACTACTTTCTTGTACATTTGACTTTCCTGTACATTTGTTTGACTAAACGGAAATACACGTGAACAACGCTGCGGCGGTCAACGTGTGTTCTGGTTTGGAGTGTGCTTGATGTCGTTATTTCTTGGCCTTCGCTTGTAACCTCTCAACATTCTTAGCAATTCGTAAGAGCTGACGGAGACTCCCTCCTCACAAGCCTACTTCACCATATCATCGCGGAACCGACTGCCTCTATTCAACCGGTTCCTCATCGGAATACCATCTCGCTCCTTGAGAGGATTCTACTTTGCGTGAGTCTGGAACATTCCTTTTCTGATTCTTCGAATTTGTACATCCTTTTTTGTTGGTAAACACAATTCCCCCATTTGGAGTTAGTTTTTCCTGTAAATATTACTGTTTGTAGTTTTTAAGTCAACGTTTTCACCGCCACAACAGCAACAACAACAACAACAACAACAACTACTACTACTACTACTACTACTACTACTACTGCCTCTACTACTACTACTACTACTACTACTACTACTAATAATTTACTCGTCCTAATTAGCAGCATTAGTAACAACCCCAACTTCACCAATTAAAACAACAACAAAAACAACGCCCTCAGCACCACCACCACCGCCCTCATCGGCAGAATTAGCGACAACACCAACCACATTAACAAAAAAACAACGTCAACGCCACCGTGGAGTCGTTATCAATTCGATCACGAATACTACAACATCAACCCGATCAGTTCCTTCAAATGATTAAACGTACGATCTCCGGTGGGCTTTCGTAGCTCAGGTGGCTAGAACGTTGGCTGTACTCAAGCCTTCCATCCCATCGGGGTCGCTGAGTTTTTCACAGTTGGGCCAAAATAGATTTGAACGTCGTGTAAAGGGTTTATTAGGCCCATATTCACTGGCCGGACAGTCGTTGGGTCTTTGGACCCGCCGAGGAACTAAACTTTCAATGCTACTGAGCCGCACAGCCTGGCGTCACGCCTGACCACCCGGTCTGGCGTGACGCCCTGACGAATCCTTTAACAAAACGCCACATGACCCCTTTCCGTCTCTCAACCTTTCACAGTCGATCAGCTCGACCGGACACGCTGAACACCTGCATGCAGTCAGGTCGCGCGTAACCGTTGTAGGGGCGAGAATAACGCACCAGCCGGCGCCCCCCTCTGCTCTACGCCCTCCCCGCTCGTGGTTATAGAGGCGCACCTGGTGCCCTTTGTGGGGTCGGGGTTCAGGAATGCGAAGGCACCCAACAGATAACTTGAAAACGCTTTCAGTAGATGAGCATAACAGTTACTGTGGCACGGCGTCTGCCGTTCGTCAGCTTTCACCCGGAAACTTGAGAACTGCAGTCTGTCAACAGAAGGACCTCCCAACCAAATCTTCACAGAACTTGTGAACTAAGCGGCAGTAGGCTCAGGCACTCGTAGTTAGGTGTGGTTAGTGACAGATATGCCAACGTACAAGGCAGTTAACATTTACGGACGCCCTTCACATGAAAAGCAGCTGTACACTCGAAAGCCTACCGACATGCGTAGGATGAAGGTATATGGACAAAAGCAACGAAGGCGCATACAAGGGTTGGCGGCAAGGAAAAGTGCTATGTACACTGTGTCCCGGCATAGCTCCCTCTACCATTGTATATTCCCGATCGCAACCGACAAGACAACGAGCTCGTAGTTCAGTGGTTGGAGGCGTTGAACTTCTAACTAAAAGATCGCGACTTCGAGCCCCAGGTGTTCCACACTTTGGGGTCGGGTATGGCTGGCTAACGACAGCCAATAAGTCAGAAATGTCCATTCCAGTCCCCCTTGTCTTTGTCGGTAATACCATTTGCGACATCGTTAAGTGGTTGGATCAATTACGTTTTTGTATTTTTCCGGCTTACTATCTTCCCATGCCTTTATGAGGCTCCGTTGCGGATCATTCGGAGTCTTTGACTTATCATTGAATACCTGCTTTTTGGGTATTCCCCCGAGGAGGAAGTCTGCAGGACTGATGTCTGACGACTCCTCATCGCGGCGACCTGTCCATCTACCAGGAAAATGTTCATCAAGCCACTTTTGAGCCGAAAGATCATGTCGACAACAGTTCGGTCGTCGTTGCCGACGATGTTCACCGTGTGTTTCACAGCAAGGTGAAGCAGGCACGGTGCCTTGCACGTGAGTTAGTTTATAGTGGTAGCAGACCTGTACCGAATCTACCAAATTTCCCCCCTCCTACTTCGCAACTGGGCCCCGTGTCAAGACATAGTCAAGAAGACCAGAGGTGGGCGGGGGAGGCGCAGGTGAATGGCGCGGCCGAGCCTGCACCTAGGCGTACCACCACACCCCTGGTCCGCATAGCAACTGACCCAGGATTTAACCAATAACGTCATCAACAACGACAAAAACGACAGCGGAAGCAACAGCAGCAGCAGCAGCAGCAGCAGCAGCGGCGGCAGCAGCAGCAGCAGAGAGACGATGATGGCTGGGCAGCCATGCTCACGACCTGTATACCCAGCGGAAGCGCAAGCTCATCCACCGGCAGGGGGCCAGGTGTCAGCAGCAGGCTGCGAGGGCCATGGCTGTCTGATCCTGACATAGCAGACGCTTCCAGACCTTTAGGCCAGAAAGATCATGATGATCAGGGACGCCACCCTGCGAAAGTAAAAATCAGCGCAAGCTGGACGTTCAGACACTATAGGCCAAACTTTTTACCTATATTTTTAGATATTATTCGACCTTCACTGTGATGTCAAAGAGAAACGGGCCTGTTCTGCAAATGCCACCCCAACATTGTCACTAGGCAAATTTACCTCTTGTAATATCTGGTCAAGTAGATTGAAGCAGGCATCATCCGACCAAATAGTGTGGTTCAAAAAGTCAGGAAAATCGTTCTATGCAGTCATGAAGTTTCACAAAATTAAAGACGTCAGTCTCCGTCACCTTCATTAGGATCGTGAAGTACACGCGGACGATATGGGTGCAAGCCGATATCCGATCGAGATATGCCAACCTCTACAGAAGTAGACCTCAGGGATTTTAGAGGGCTATTGGCGTATGATGTTGCCACCAAATCTTGACTAACAGTAGTCCATACTGTTCTTGACTCACCAGCTTTATCCGTGTTGACAGTGTTACTAGTTCATTCGAATTTTCGTACCAATTCGTAGACCCTCGATTATGATTGAAGTGATGTATCAAGTGATTCATTCGAATGACCCCTAAAATCTTTATACTCCTGGCCCGATCAGTAAAAATTTTTAATAATATGAAAACCTCTCTCCCTCTTTTCCATTGTTGAAGTGTGCCTTATGTAGGGCGTGTCTCAACTGAAAGAGGGTAATAGTAAATACCAAATTGGCTAGAACGATGATAAGGTTATGCACACTGGAAGTGAGATAAACAAGGTCCACTGAAGACTAATGCACATGGTTTACATCTTAGCTATTTGCTGTAACCTTGTGCAGTAAGACTTTGTTCTGTGTATTTTCAACTTTTTGTAATAATCAGCCATCGTTTACATGCAAGTCACCCTGTATATTAACATTTCCTGTGTCAAGTAAAGGTAATATGGAGGCACCAAGATAATTCCGCTGAAGGAAGTATGATGTTGGAAAAATTGTAGAAAATAAAGGGAGTAGGAATCTCATTCTCGTAATAAAACCGGCTTTACGCGAACTTTCAGAAGGACATCTATTCTGTGAACTAACCTTTACCCTAACACAAATCTCCCTGGAATCTAACCTAAAGCTACCCTTATTACGGGGCTTCCTTCTCCCATGTCCTACAACAAAAAACCGCAACACTTCCTCCTAGAAACGATAAATTTTCAGACAGCAGCTGGGTGGAGATAACTTCTATTGTCTCAATTATAACACCCCGAATGAGGGGCAAGAGGATATTGGCACACGACAGGGCCAAAGCCTTATCAATAAATTTCGCGCGGAGTGCCCTGTTGGTGCGGCGCTTTCCCACGGCAGGAATAGTCGATAATCGATGCTTCCTCGCTCCTGACTGTCAGAGCATGCCTATTGTTCTATATTACAGAATGGAGAAAAGCCTAGTGGAGATTCCTCCCGAGAAATTTTTGCTACTCAAAGTCGGACAGACTCTGGATTTAAACACGAGAAGAAAGACGTGACTGTTAGAGAGTTTGCACTTACTCCCTATCATTTGGGGATTTCGGGTACGCTATCCGTGTCCTAGCATTTTAAAAATGAGTGAAGGGAATATCTCGAAAAAACTAAACGCGAAGATACTGAACATCGATTGACAACACTAATCTTCCCAAAAAAGTTGGGACGGAAAAGTGATTTCAACGAGAAACAGAAAAAAAAACGAAGTCTTGAGGATTCAAGTCTTTCCTCGGATTTTGTGATATGCATTTCTGCGCTAGCCAGTCAGTCCCTCATGGATCTAGGCTACTTACCATGTAGTTTTACCAAATCGAAATATTCATAGATTTTGGCGAAAATGGACGTTGCGATATATTCGGCCAATTTCCTATGTTAATACTTGTCCTAGACTTCAGTTGCGCCTCTAAGCGTTTTTTTTCTGTGAGAGAACATTAATGCACCTTCGAGAGTTTTACTAAACAGAACTTACCGCACTTGATTTTTTGACTGATGTTAACCGAGGGGATAAATAGGCAGACACAAGGATTATTTTTAGGGAACCAAGCCTTTTTTCGATTTTTAGAAATCCAATTAGCACATCTATGTGATTCCGTGTCCCAAAGTTCAGTAATAACGCCTTTCAGTAAATGTTCGTTTAAATATGTCGAAACTATTTTGTGATATGAAAAATTATATCATTTGTCACAGAAATGAGTACCACCGAGTGGTCATTTCCGGTTTTGAACGTATAGAACATTGTTTTTCGTGTGGTCTAGCTTCTGCGCATAGGTGATTTTGAAATGGAATGGACAAGTCATCAACAGTTTCAGCAAAATATCAGTATTTATATGGTCCCTCTGTAGCGCATTTACAACCGTAGAATGCAGTCTAAAAGTGGGCAAAAATAGGGAAAATGGACGCAATATAAAGGGCAATGCATGCTCCCACGTTTGCGGTAGAAGAATATCAGTATTTCTTAGTAACATAAAGGAAACGGCCAAAAGTGTCAACTTTTTTCTTGGTTTCATCGTAAAGAGTACAAAATGCACGGACATCCGTCAATAGAATGCAGTACTAAAGCAACCCTTCAAAAGCTGACTTATTAGAGGATATTTCCTAGTCGATGGTGGTCATATTCGTTGCTGACTTTTGTTGTGGATGTTCACCTTAATCGGTGATGAGATTTCCTATTTGAGGGAGCCTTCAAATGTGATCCAAACGACCTTCTTCATGAAAAACAACGCCGGAATACTCACTACTTCGGTAAATGCCTTCAAGGAGTATCTTATTTTAACAAACACGTAATGCAGAACCTTTCTTCGTGGGCAATCGATATTTTAAGGCCGATCTGGGACTCAATGTAATCCAAGACAAACGATATGTTCTACCTGCAAAATCCAGTCAAATCCTGTTTATTTTATTGAA